TTTCGTCAGCAAATTCGGTCGTTTTTTTTCAAAACCAAAGTAGGAAATTAGTGGGCTTGGACTTTAGAAGCAAGTAAACAAAATGCTCCTGTTGCAAAACATAAATTTGAAGCATATCCACGTAACATCACTCAACGGTCGTCACTGCGGTTTACTTTAGTTCCAAGATATTACCCAACCAATCGCCATCATCACACCACCCTCAAGAATCACCACCACTCTAATCCGGGTACAATTTTCCGGACGGTTTTGCGTACGGGGCGCGGAGCGCGGGGCCTGATGTTCATAAAAACATGGGTGCTCGTGTTCTGCATTACTGACTGGATGACTATAGATTGATTTAAATAAGGGTTGGGAATTTGAATTTAGATTTCGTAATTATTTTTTGAGGTTCTGAACCAGAAAAAGAAGCATTCACATGCTTGTACCATAATGTTCCTGAGACTTAAATATTTGCATGGAAATCAGATTACGATCTCATCGGGACTACCATTTTTTTTGACAAAGTTTAACATATTCTTTTCAAGTATTGGAAAACTTTTGTTTCGAGTGCGCCGCATCGATCTTTTCGGAAAACCCTATTTGTTCACAAAATTATTAAATCACAGAGACTATACCTACGATTAAACGAGAATTATCTTAGAAGTTCAACAAGTATATTGAATAATGCTGAATGAATTTTCATTAATCGATAACCTCGATGTTTTCCTAACTTCTGGTTCTGAACGTCACGGAAACTCAATCGCAGAAATATTATAGATTTTTTTCACGTACCATGTTAATAATAATATTTTAATTTAGAAACTACTGAATTCACTCACTAAGTCATTCGTCACCCTCAGGTCCGATTATATTACGCATCATTTTATTCATCGAACATAAATACCCAATACCCTATAGTACGAATCATAATTTCATAATTTCCTGACATCTCAAATCATTCATTTTAGGATTAATTACATTTACAAGAATAGTTTACTACAGTTACTCATCAGCCAAAAGCCTTTATTTTCATTAAAAACCATCAGCGAAACGGACAGTTTAATTCATCAATAAATGCTCTTGATAAATACAATTATGTAGCAATACGATATTAGTCACTCATTTGAGCTTGATTAATAGAACCATCCAGTCTGCCCTGGGGTAGAACACCCTCAAAAATGGCCGCTACAGGGACGCTTCAGACCGGAGTCCCAGAGAGCGAGTTTTTTAGCACCAATATACAGTAGCGGCTGCAAAAAGGAACAAAAGCGTGCGCCAGTTTGTGTGTCAATGAAGCGGTAATGGGCTATGATAAACGGTGCCGGGGTAGTAAGACATTAGGAGATATTAGGGGGGACTAGAGAATGGCAGTGTCATTGATTTTATGTTAGAGGCATCGGGTATCGAACCCTCACCACGCTTGTTAAATGCTTCAATGAACATATAGAGGGGAGACTGAACGAGGGCATCCTAAACAGAATGTCCGTTCATGCTATTGTTCGCAGTGTATGGAGATTCTGAGACTTGGTTCGTATGCTCCATTTTGTCCTCATATTGGAACTAAATTTGCACTCCTGTTTGTTATTTATAAAAAGGACTGTTATAACCACGCTGTTCGGAGAGTATCCTTTATTTCAACAGAATTAATATGTAACGGGAGTTTATCCTTTGTTTCACCGGGGTTTGTACTAGGTAACTCGGAGAGTATCATTTATTTCAACAGAATTGATATGTAACGGGGAGAGTATACTTTATTTAAACAAGAATTTTTATGTAACGGGGAAAGTATACTTTATTTCAACAGGAATTGATATGTAAAGGGGAGAGTATCCTTTGTTGCACCGGGGAATGGACTAGGTAACAGGGAGAGTATCCTTTATTTAATCAAGAATTGATATTTAACGGGGAAGGTATCCTTTGTTTCCCCGAGGATTGGATTAGGTACACTGTTAGAAAAAACGATGAAAAAACGGTCCCACTGGCGTTCTAGTGGCCGGTCACACCGTGAAAATAAACTGTTGCGCCGTTTTCATCAGATGTTTTACGGATTTCTAGTGTTAAATTAGAATAAAAACGGCGACACGGTGTTTCTTTTCACGTGCCGACCGGCCACTGAAACGCCGGTATAATACCGTTAACGGTAATTTTTCTAACAGTGTAACTGAAGAGTATCCTCCATTTCACTGATGTTCTCGAACTATACGTGACTCTGCGAATACCTTTTATTTCAATAGAGACTGTGAAGAAAGTTACTCGGAAAAGTCTTTAATATACAAGTCAATTGCAAATCAAACATTAAAACTAATTTTCGATTCTTAAAATACGTTGTTATTTTGTCAGCTCATGTTATAGTAATTTTCTAATTTTTACCAAATTTTCCTTTGTTATTTCTTAGAAATTTTTGAATTCAAACTGAATGAACAGTTTGACTATGTTAACTCAAGACGAGTTAGAGGTTCAGCAGCGGTTTGTCTCATTTGTATTGTCTTATTTCGAAGACATGGATATAAAGTTTGATTTTGTAAATAAGTATAGTTGCCCTAAAGTTAGAATAAATACTGTGTGATACTATGATCACTAACTTTCTTGTAATTAATCAATTAATCATTAACTTGTACTGGCAGAAATAATTATTAATATGGTGACCCTGACCTGCCCCTTCCTCACAAACTGAAAATTATATCTCGCAAAAATTATTTTTATTTCATAATAATATCTTAATTTTATTGCGTTGCCAGCGAAATTAAATCTTGCTTTATTATTTCCTTTATATATAACAGCTAATAAGTAACTTCAAACAAAACCAGCGTTGTATTGAAATACATCGAGCATTTGATGTGTGCCTGATTTTCGCGCATCACCGAACTATGGATTGCGTCCTTACGTCTAAGGATCAAGTCCTTGCTGTTGACTTAGAGTCCCCTTCTTGGTCTTGATTTTCAACCCCATGAATAGACCAACTTGCAGCCCATCAAGCGTAAAAATAATCTACTTCGCATCTGCTTTTCAAGGGCGGCAGATTTAAGCCAACCGCGACCGGGTTAATCTGAATACCGAACGCCCATATGCGCAATATGGCCGTATTTTTTTAGATAAATCAGGGTGAATAAATTTATTGAACTTTTTTTTCGCACAGCGCGATACTGCTTTCAATAAATTAGGGAAACATATTGTTCTGGCAGCCATTTATTATTTTTTTGCATCATGTGGTATCAAATGCTAAAATTTTACGATATTTGCCTTAATCAGATGGGTTTATTACGTCACAAAATTTCCAATGGCATGGATAGGTGAAAAAATACTGTCATTAACCAAGAGGAAGGAAGGTTAAGGAATAATTTGATCTTCTCATTGAATTTCTGCCTTACTTTGGACTTTTAATGCTCAAGTCTCTTCCCCATTTTTCGTCCACTGTGATGGGAGAAAAGTTAAACGAAATGAAAATAAAAAACTCTGAGAAATTTGCAATGCAAAGTCATTATTTTCGTTTTCGTTTCAGCTCGGAAAAATGTGTTAAAAGTATAATATGTGTTCTTAATGTCTTCTAAAATCTGTTCATAAGTTAATAAGACTTCATGTTTTCTATACTGACTTGGTCTTTGGTGCGAGATTCTTCATTTTTGTTTGCATTTGCCCATAGTCTGTGAAGGAGCAGCCGGTCTGGCCAGCAATGGGATCGATAATCAGCGATAATCGTCCATAGAACGTAGCTGCTAATCCGATCCCGCGAACGGATCTATCGATCTCTGCCCCTGCCCTTAAATCAGATGTCACCCAACTCTGAAATTTCAATTTGGATTTCATTCAGGCCTATTTCAAGAAATAATAAAAAGCTGAAAGCTTATCAAACTAGTGTCCACTGCGGTGAATATTTATTGAGTGCTTGACGTTTTAATCAATCGGGTTACATTTTTTATACAAGTTGTACCTATTTTTAATGATTGCAATGTAGTTTAAAAGATCTCGGAACTAATGTCATTTATGTATGTTGATGCCATATATGAGTTTCATGTATGTTCGTTTAATTTACAGAATAGACCTGTTCTAATTTTCGTAGTTTCACAGTAATTGGAAACGGAAAATATTAATGAAATCTGGCAATAAAAATTTGCATGTAAAATTAAATCTTTTCCAGGTATTTTTAGGAACGTCAATAATGACTGATTGAAAATCTTAAATAATGATATATTAACAATATGTTCATAATTTGGCACAGACGTCACCAAAGTTGGGACAATAATATACGTAGTTAAGACAATAAAAATTGTCTTAATTTTCCGGTGAAGCGAAGTTAATGAACTTGAGATTTTAATGTGATGAGACTAATCCCCTAATAGCGAAATTAAATAAAGCTTGTATTCTGCATTTGATACATTATTTATAAGACCACCTAGGGCCTCTTTATGGCTCTTGCCTTATCAGTCGCTTAATACATCATACAGACAAATGAATAGACAGCTTCAAGTGAATAGCTAATAAGATTACAACAAATTAAATGTAAACGGAACATTGACGAAAGACAGAATAAGAATTATGATAAGTTTATAGAAACAATGTATTATTGCACTTTTGGTGTTACAGGAGCAATAAAAATTTTCTAAATTAATCCCTTGCCTTATAATATCAAAATTAGAAAATAATTACGCATATAAAATTCGAATAAATGGACTCACCTTTTCTAGTTATAAAATTTTAGTTTAATATTCAGAAGAGCTTGAAAATCGTAATTATATTCATTCTGATATCTAAAAAGTTGTTGTAATAAAATAAATTAAGATTATAGTTATAAATTTTTTAATCACATTTTCATTACTTATGGTTATTCCTAAATATACGTATATAGATGAATGATTTTATTTTATTGTAATAGATTTTTGTAGCAATAAAATTAATAAATAAAACTTACAAAAAATATTATTAAAAATAATCAATTAATAAAACTTATAAAAAATATTTTATTACAATTGAATATTATGTTCCAAAACCTAAAATTAAAAAAAACTTTCTACTGCGTACAGGACCAGGCGATGAAGTGACCGGAGGTCCCAGCAACTTCAGAGACTTGTGTGGTGAAGTTAGTGATGACGCTTCTGCACCACACGAAGATTCCAGTTCACCACGCTCACTATCACCGAGCACGCCACCATTAAACACCGCCCCATCGTCACCCCCATCCCGACTTACACAAGAGTTTCCGCTAAAAGAAGACAATTCCCGCAAAATATTCATTGATGAATATATGGAAACTAACAAATTTCCAAAATTAATAACAAAGTTTTCACGTAAAAATAAGCACGATGAAAGTTTCACGATCAATTCTAACAACTTGCATCCATACGCCGAAGACATTTCTAGTTCAACAGACATCAATAAAATTGAATATTCTGTCGAAGCATTACGTTCAAAACCAGTTAAAAAGCTGAACAATTCACACGAGGTATCAGATTGTCGAGTAACGGACTTGAAGTTAAATGTTAAGGAAGAAAAAGAGATAGGCGATTTTTCATTAAAAGTTTCTCCTGCTGAAAAAATTCTAACAATATCCCCGGAGAAAAAAGAGCTTGATGAGACAAATGTCAAAAATGACAAATCAACGGTGAAACCAGGTTGCGATTTAATCAACGAGGCAAGCGGTCAGCATGAAAAAGACAGAATTGAAACCAAGCATTCAATTGAATCAAAGATAAAGGATGAAGTTGATATAAAAACAGAACAGAATATGGATGAATCTCATTATGATTTCAAGAAAGAAAGTATAAGCGCCATCACTCTGAATCACTCCCACACCACAGCCGGTACACTCCACAGACTCATGACTGATCAAGCAAATGTTGTTCACAACAGCGGACCGTTCGGTGACATTCACACTTTAATGAATAAAATGAATCATTTAAACGGAATGAGTATTAGCCATTTGCTTGCCCGTGATTTTTTGAATAGGAAAAACAGTTCGGGGCATGACATACAAAATGCTTCCACTTCTACTCCTTCCACCCTAACAATTTCGTCACCATCAGCGTCTACAGGTAACAATTGTTTCAGTACGAGTATGGTTACTTTGTCTCCTCCGCACACTTTGTCACCTCACAACCGCTCCAACAACTTGTCCATATCACCGGCGTCTGCTTCACCGCAGGATAATGATGCTGACTCTGGGGCTGATGACCACGATGATGATGATGATCCTGTCAATACTTACTATAAGAACAACCAAAAATTCAGGTCTCAACAGCAGCGGTCCAGTGATAAACGTCCACGTTTTGATTCCAAAGTATTTTTCCCCGGACAAAATTCTCCTCCACTCACCCCCCAAACCACGATGAACGGACGGAGTCAGGCTGCAATAGACAAGACAAAAAACAAGTTCAATCTTGCTTACGGGAAGGACGATGCTTCGATTGATGTTTTTCCTAGACAGGAATATCCTAGCAGGATAACCGTAGCTCCATCCAGTTTCTTCAACTCAGTGTCGTTTTCGCCGATGAATATTTTAGGCATGAATTTAATTTCTCCATCAGCTGGTGACAAAAATGACCATTCTGTCGACATTCATAACGAAAATAATCACGCTGACAAGCATGAGCCTTTTCTTGATAAAAATATCGACCAGTTCGGCAACCAAGCTGCTAGCAAGATGAAAGACAACACACAGGATGACAAGAAAATTGCTCTACCCGGAGACGCAGAAAAAAATTCTTATCACAAATTCCCGGAATCAAGCACTTCATATCCGATTCCTGATTCGTCTCTTCCAAATGAAACTCAGACGTCAGAATTAAACGCTGCAACCGAAAGGCTCATCACTCAGCAGTTGTCGATTCCTCCGGCGGAGCTACAAGTCAAAGAAAAAACATCATTCAATTACAAGCAAACAAACGCAGTCTTCTACAGTTCCTCCGACCAATCACGCGATAAGGAGGTTCGTGGAGGATGTGATTCAGTCAGCGGTGATCTGGAGACAAGTTTGGATGACTTTTCAGGCAGAGGAACAAAACTGGCAATCTTCGCGAAGTTCTCAGTGGCAAAAGGCGCGCGTTATGGACCTTTTATGGGCAAATTCACTGCTGAGGCTAAAGATCCTTCCTTCGCTTGGCAGGTGAGTACTAATTAACTATCAATGTTAACAAGAAGTCATGCATATAATAATTGTATGTGGTAGTAAATATGAGATTTGAGGTACCATTAAAACCAGGGTTACTTGTTGACATCGCGTGCTGTCTGAAGTTTCCGTACAGTTCCCGCGTACCACCAGGGACCTACCGCGCACCACATAATGATGCATATTAACCATTAATAAGTAGTAATTGTTTAATTTTGTTGTTCTTAATGCGCTAATAATTGGTGTTACAAGTAAATTAAGCATTTGAATTTAATGACGAGTCGCTGAGTCCGCATAACGGTCCAAAGCATTGATCCAAATGTTACTAATGGCCTAATACTTCCATCTTCTGAGTGTGATTCTGGGAGGTTGTTGTTAATACAAATATTATTACTGAGCCCTGGTTTAACGAGTTATTTTAACTACAATTTTGTAGATATATAACAAAATTCTTACCCACAAGTAGACACGCGTATTCAATCAGTTCTAGTTTTAAACTTTCCGATATTATTGAATATTCAGGGTAATTATATTTGTTTGATACTTGCCATAGGTTTGCTTAGTTTAGTGATGTTAGTTAGCGCTCCATACCGTTGCTTTAGCATCTAATGTAATCTATGATATGAAAATAATTCATTTATCGCCATTAGGCCCGCGATAGCCATTTGCTTATTTGCTCGTTTCTGTAGTCACGCGAAGTGGTCGTTAGCGGCTGCTGTTAAAGTTCAACTGTAGCGGCTTGTTAAAAAGTTCAACGCAGCGCATGAAATGGAGTTAAATATTTCACATGATAATTTCAATTAGCACTTGTTACTAATTTAGTTGTGTGTCACAATTATTTAACCAAAATAGTCAGGAAATTTTTGAACTTGATTGATTGGGATGATAGATGACGGTACGTCCTTGTCGGGGGCCAAAGATTTCACTTAATGTTACTCATGCGAGCTGCATTTATTACGTACTCTTCAAATCTGTGCAAGACACCGCTTAATTTTGGTGTTTATTTTACTTGCTGACAATGTATCATACATTTTTTACTGTAACATAAATCACCATTAATTTCAAGGCTCCATTAGTATCATAATGATATTCCTTTTTGGCCGTGATAATGAACACATTCCCTCTCATATTATTGGACGACGTGCCTCATGCGGGGACCACAGAAGGCCTAGAGGTTAACCGGAACAACAGTAATAGAGCACACGATGCTCTTATTTGACTTTGCTCTTTGGCTCTTCCGTTTGTTATACATTTGGCGGTGGCCGCCCCGGGCAAATAATCGATTCTCTTTGGCAACGAAAGAGCCTTTGTTGCACCGCAGCACCGCGCTGCGGCGAGCGTGCGAAAATCTCTCAATGGGGACTTATGAAGTAGAGTGACTTAGCGCCAACCGTGATCTGTCAAGTCCAATACGACGATAGGACTTGAAAACCAGTTGCGTTCAAGACTGGTACTTCTGTAGTAGAATTCATGTCTGTTCAATGTGTTTGGTGGAATCCACGTCTATTCTGCAAGCTAAAATAAATAGATTTAAAATCGCGAACACTTTGAATCACCTTCTACGTAGAATCACCTTCTACGAAGACCTACCTAACGAGAGAAAAATGATAGTTGCGCTGAAGGCGAAAAGTTTCGAACAATTAACAACTCATCGCCAGGTTAAGTGGATCCAAAAAATGTGTTCAAGGAGAAACAAAATCTCTGGTGCATCATATTTAGCCTGGGCTCCCCTGATGCGTCGGCCGCAAAACGTCCGCTTCCTGAACGCTTCGTTACACGACAATTACACAGTCGCTTGATCTCGGCCCTCGCAGGACAGACGGTCGTGCTGGACCATAAATAGTGAGTGAGGGAAGACGTCATGAGGGGCGGCGGTGTTCTGCTTGAAAGATAATTTGAGAACACGTAATTAGGATCAAGTGTTTTACCGTTTGTTTTGTGGGCAAAATGTTTCTGAAGTTAAGTGGTAGTCATCGCATGTAAAGCTCTATATGCTACTTTTCTAAGAATAAGTGTATCGTAGTGGTCATCTTGCGTACTTTGGAAGTTAGAATGCAAAAATTATGCAACAATTCTTCATTAAATACGAAATGATAGCCGCAGAAATTTTCGATATTTTTGTGATTAATTTCTTTCAATGGTAGGAATTGTTGAAGTTCAAGAAACCACTACCGTTACTCATTACTAAGGATGTTTGGGACATAATTATTGTAAGTTTGAGTGGTAAGTTCGACATTCCCCTTGAACCACATGGTCCAGCTAATGAGTGGAGCACAGCGTGTAATTGTGCATCATCTTCGCTCAAGGGCCATATCCGCAAGACCCTCTGGTGGCAGCGGAAGGAACGACTTTCGTGGTCTGCCTCGAATTTACCAAGGTTCGAACATCTTGGGTGTCACCATTACGCATCGTTACAGAGTTTTGTTACGAAGGTGACGTCTTTAGCGCCGACGCCCGTCGTTAAAGTCTTTTAACTGTCCCATGATTCTGGACATTTATTGTGGTCCCATTTATTTTAAATCAAGAATAACGTAAAATGCTGGGGAGGGAATATGTTATTTTACGGGTAATGTGCGAAATCGGTATTCTATAACACCGGTGATTCAATTTAAATGCAGGCAGAATTTCTAATGTTATGGCAGAAGTGAACGCGAAGATGTGAATTGCTGAATATTTAGCAGCGTCTGTTAAAAATTCGAAGCCCTCAGGTGGCCTAACCCTCATTAAGAAAACGCCAAAAAATGTTGCGATTCTGAACGCATTTATTTCAAATCATATTGGCAAGACCCCCTCATGTGCATACATTTACGAATGGAAACAACATCGGTGAGACCCATAGTGTGACATCTCCTTGCTAACCGCGAGACAAAACACGTGTCACTTTTGCGGTCTTCGTTAACATCACCAGACGTGACCATGACCACTTCCCTCACTGCTGAGTCTCCATACCAACCTCTGAACTTCCGACCGAGATATTACTGTCTTAAATTTAGAGGAAAGACCAAAAATAGTATCAGATAATGGAATATTTTCGGATAAATAAAGGCCTCTATCGTGCTTTTAATTTGTGTATATATGTGTTTTAAAATATTTAAAATAATTTTATTCGTGCTCAATTTTCGGTGCCACTCATGGAATTTATGACCACTCTTTTTGTCAAACAGTTCAGGTTAAATTTTCACTTTGCTCCAAATTTCAGTGAATATTAATTACAAACTCATTGTTACGCTTGTATTGATGCCAGACAAGGAGGCTTGCATACAAGCAATCTGCCATAAATCGCACGCCAAAAAAAACCGTTGCACTATGCATGTTCCTGACATGTTCTAATCGCTGGCCGATGACGCAGCTCTTTCTGATGGACGTAATGGGTCGCGAACCGTCCTCAGTGATGGTTTTATTTCACGCTGCGATAGAGACTTGAGGTAATCTCACGTGCAAGAAATTATCGTTACGACCACACAAAAAGTTCACACGTCAAAAGCATATTAATGCTAACCATATAGGAGATAAAAAATGTAACAAAATACCAGTGATATGAATGTTGAACGGTGAAGCAGGATTGAAATTCAACCAAATCGTCTTGTGTGATTTGAGAAAATGACCATTTTTCGATTGATTTATTCCGCAATAAATTGACTGATATTACTTCCTCAATATTTCCAGTTTTAATTCCTACAAAATAAAAGGCTCTTTAAATATTTTTTAGTATTATACCAGCGTTAGAACACCAATTAAGAAGTTGACCATTTAAACGTCACCTCCAGCAAGCAGGACGAGGGTGTGTACAAAATCAGATATTATTAAATTAAAACATTTTTACAGGCGAATATAAAATGAACGTAAAATGAACGATTACTAAAAAAATATTCTACGTTAAAAAACTTCCACCCGGAAACGTTGGTCCTCTTGAACTATGCATTAATGAGTATTATTTCAATTATCAAGCAATCTTGACTGTTATCATTTTAATATCACTTCTATACACACACCCCAACGATGAATTCACATAATTGTTTTAAAATTTTCACACGGAAGAACTTGTCCTCTGCAGCAATGCCATTACGACACCTACAGGTTAAGTCATTGTCTTCAATAACTCATAATTAAAGTCTGTTCAAAGTTTAAATGCAAATTCTCCCACTGATTGCTCGCTATTGTTTAGCGGCGATGCTTGTGTGGAATCCCATTCTCTCCTTGCGCATCTTTTGTGTCCGCTATTCTTTGGGAGAAATCCTTTGTGACGTCTATTCTTTGGCTTGTAGAAATTGCCTTTGTAGTCGGCCTGTAGGTTCGTAAGCGACGAATTAGCACCTCGCTGTTATAATTATTTATGCGTGAACGTATGCAAGTCAGTTTATGACTTATGGTATCATTGAAATGTTGTGTTTTTTCTTCTCTCTTTGAGTGTCAATACATCAGATCGATAGCACCGAAAAAAGGTATACTTTGAACTTAACGGGAAAGTTTTTTGTTCACTTAATGACATACAAGAAGTGCCGGAAGCAAAGATGAAACCATTATTCGGCACATAATTCATCGTCATGATGTCTAATAAAGATTGACATGATCGACGGATGGATAGATGTATAGAGAGAACATCTCCATATGTCGTAGCTAATCACACATCCACTTGATGCTGAAGCCCTCAAAACGTACGAGTCAATCAGAAGGTTCACACCTGCGGTCTGGAGGGTAGAGCAGGCCTATAACATTGTTCAATCTGTGACACCTTCTCTTAAGAGGCTTCTCGGCCTACACACTCGTATATTGGGGTCTTGCTGTCAAACAAAGCCTTTAGTATTTGTCGTGTGTCTACATTATTTTTGATTCGCACCTACATCTATTGGAAAAAATATTAATTACATTGAAACAGAGAAATATGTTTTAATGCAGAAAATTTTCATTTTTTTAACTGAAAGAATAAATTTGCTATTTCGACTCCAGTTATCTAAGAATTCTGTCCCGAATTCATTCTAATTCTCATCTACTGCCGT